GGAAACGGAGGACCAGCAGCCCCAGCTCAGCCCGCTCCCACACCCACCAGCCCATGAGCGTTTCGAGGACAGTAAGTGAAAAAATAATACATCGAGCGAGACGTATGAAGAGGAGGAAAAATTTGCCCTCTGGGCTTCTATTATCCGCGAGACAATGCCAGGGAGCGTAGGAATCCCGCAGCCGCGGAGAAGAGCCGTGGGTAAGCGGCATCGCGGCGTTCCTGTAACAGATGTTATTAGCATATGGTTGAAACTGGGGCATCCCACGAGTTATTTTACATGGAGATGCATACTCCGGTGGGTGTTAAATTATCAGGCTGCCTCGGATGGGACGCGGTGGCTCTTTAACCCTTCGAAGCCCAGGGCTGCGCAGAGCACGGGGGAGCAAAGGTGTGCCGGGTGAAGGTGGGTGCAAAGCTTTCAGCCTCGATGTAAGTCAAAAGTTGGGGTTTCAGCGTTTGAACCCACAAAGAGCCTCAATCCTCCCGGCCACCAGCTCAGATCTCCAGAGGCCGAGATGCAGAGACTCAGCTCCAGCTGCCCACGAGTGGTTTTGCCTCCAGCAAAACCTGCCTGAGGATAAAAGTCACGACAGACACAGATCAGACCGATGCCCTCGGAAGTTTACGCGTGGAAAAGCCTGCAACGTGCCGCACAATGAGGCTAAAATAGATACGATACCCGCTGCGGAGCCCGGGATAAATATTTCAGCTGTTTCTGGGATATTTAGGGATTAGCAGGGACCTCCTTACCCCGGTTGCTGTAGTTGTGGGTGTCCATGAAGGAGAGCCCCAGGCGCTCGTCCTCCTGCAGCGTGCTCTGGTCGGTGAAGCTCCGGTCGATGGCACTCATCATGTGCGTCTTCTCGTGGCGGTAGTTGATGGTCGCTTTGGTCATGTTGACTGGTTTTCTGCAGCGGGATGCAAAGAGGAGGAGAAGGAGAGGGAAGAAGCACACGTAAGCAAGGTTGACCTAACAGTGCTGTAAGATCCCCCAAAGCTACCAAGCTTGGGTTATTTTGGGGAGCAGGATGGATTATTTCCCCCAGCAGTCACCACGTTTGGTTTTCTGGTGCCCCAAGTTGGTCACAGACCAAGGTGGGTCGTTCTCCACCAGCTGCAGCAACTCCAGCTGCTCATCTTAAATGTCCCCCCCCGAAAACACTCCATAGCTGGAGCACCTGGGAGCACACCTTGGGCAAGAGAAGGCTCTCCCTGGTCAGCTGGTGTTGCAGAGGGTGGCCCCAGCTCTCCCTTGGTCCCATCTCCCCAGGCATTACCCACCCATCACCCCACACCACCTCACTGCAACGGGGACAATCCAACGCACCACGTGCATCACTGTGCTGCACAGTGCAAAAAAACAGATGTGGAGCTGTTGGAGCGGGTCCAGAGGAGGGCACAAAAATGACAAGAGAGATGTAGCACCTCTGCTATGGAGACAGGCTGAGAGTTGGAGTTGTTGAGCCTGGAGAAGAGAAGGCTGCGGGGAGACCTTCCAGCAGCCTTCCAGTACCTAAAGGGGCTACAAGAAAGCTGGAGAGGGGCTTTGGACAAGGGTGTGCAGTGACAGGACACAGGGCAATGGCTTTAAACTGAAAGAGGGGAGATTTTGATGAGATCTAAGGAAGAAATTCTTCCCTCTGAGGGTGGTGAGGCACTGGACCAGGTTGCCCAGAGAAGTTGTGGCTGCCCCATCCCTGGAAGTGTTCAAGGCCAGGTTGGATGAGGCTTTGAGCAACCTGGTGTAGTGGAAGGTGTCCCTGCCCATGGCAGGGGGGTTGGAACTGGGTGATCTTGAAGGTCCCTTCCAACCCAAACCATTCTATGACATTAAAACCATTTGAGGGAGGTCAACCCATCCCATGGGACAGGCTGAACCCCTGGACCGCACATGCGCTCAGCACCCGCTGGGGACCCACTTTCCCCCTGTGCAAGGTCCCCATTAGGCACCTAATGAAGATGCTGGGAAAGCCCAGAAGCTTTCGCTGGGACAGAACCTGACACTCCAAATTAGAGACATTTAGGAAAAAGAAAAAAAAGACTGATTGAGTGTTTTTGAGAGGCACCATCAGGCTCCCAAGAAGCCAAAGCAGGGAGCAAACCAGGAGAAGGCTGAATAGGAGATCTGAGCCGAGATGGGGCCGGGACACTGCAAAATGCTGCCAAAATCCAGAATTCAACCTGGAATCACTGACCCTTCCCCCTTCGGTCTCTAACGAGCTCAGCAGCATTATTTTCCTGGAGCTAAAGAGGCCCTTAAAATGTAGTCGGCAGAGAAAAGGACTTGTCGGAGGAGCAGGACAAGGGGGGTGGCCGGGAGGAAGGGCGAAGGAGAAAGAGAATGACAATTACTTACGGGTAATAGGAATAAGAATAGTAGTTCCTCCTGGCAAGCGTGCAAACAAAGAGAACAGCAGAAATTGCATAAGCAGCTTTTCTCCAGCATAGGGAAGTGGAGGGGGGGTACGGGGCAACTCGGCTGCCGGAAAATTAAATGCACCGTAAAGAAACGCGGCTCCGTTTTTGCATCCGTAGGTGATTTACTCGGGGCAGGAGCCGGTATCCAGCAGCAGTGCCCAAGCACTAGCTCTCAGGGAGACCACAGTCCCCGGGTCAGCAGTGGGGTGTCCATGGCACCCTCATCCGAGGCTGAACAGCAAAATTGTTCAAAATGTTGGGTGTTCCCCAGGGAGCCGGTCAGGGGCCAGGAACTAACTGCAGTGGGGAAAACAGGGTCGGACACCGCGTTTCCAGCGCACCGTTCATTAGAGGGGGCCATATTCTGGGGGTGTGTTCCCTTCCCACCACGTCAGTGTTTTTCCAGCAGTCAAATGCTCCGGAGGAGATTTGTGGGCTCATCCCAGCATCCCACCAGCCCCAAATTCAGGGCCCGCAGCACCGGCTCCGATTTGTGGCTCCGCTTTGTCCTTCGACAGGTTCACTCCAGGATGCTGAAGCAAAGCTGCTCCTCCTCCTCCTCCTCCTCCTCCTCCCGCCCTGCAGTGCTGGCAATGGCACCCAGGTCGCTCCCCAAAACTCATTGGCACCTGAGTGATGGACCCAATGCCACACACACGGGCACCATCCGGGGCATCACCCCAGAGTTAACAGTGGACAGGGAGCCACGAGCCGACAGGTTCACTCCAGGATGCTGAAGCAAAGCTGCTCCTCCTCCTCCTCCTCCTCCTCCTCCCGCCCTGCAGTGCTGGCAATGGCACCCAGGTCGCTCCCCAAAACTCATTGGCACCTGAGTGATGGACCCAATGCCACACACACGGGCACCATCCGGGGCATCACCCCAGAGTTAACAGTGGACAGGGAGCCACGAGCCGCAGATGCTACACATCTTTTCCAGCTGGTGTAAATCAGGAAGAATCCCTTACGGGCAAACGAAATCAGAAATAAATCTGCAGATTTAGGGGGGCTGAGGTTGTGCTCTGCTATTTTTCTCTCCCCGACGGCTGTTACCGTACTCTCCTCCCATCATGCTGAGCCCTGTGCGGGGAAGGCGCGTAATTGCTGCCCTTTCCCTCCCGCTTTCAGAGCCCCCCCGGCTCAGCGCACGGGAAAAAGCTGCTTTCCAGGACACTGCGCCTGAGCCAAAAGCAGCGGCCGCATCCCCGGCGCTCCCGGGGACGAGTGTCCCGAAAAGCCCTTCTCCTCCTCCCTCCCACCCCACCAAGTTTTCCCCCCACCCCGAGGCCACCGTGATGGCCACAGCAGCAAGCTG